CGGGGACTCATGCATGCAGATCTAGATTCATTTGTCAGTGCGATCACTCATCATTTCATTCCGTTCTACATCACCGTCTTGTGTCTTCCATTTAATTTCAGTTGATGTCGTCATCACTTGCAACTCCGTTGAATATTAAAAGTTCATTTATGTTATCCGACAAGTGATGAGTCATTCTTCGGTACATTCGGGTCTTGCACCTACGAGATCGCTTCCAAGACAGCCAGGGAGTGGAAGGGACGGAGAACCATAAGTGCCCCGACTGTGCGCCGACGCCTTAGACATCAGCCAGTCACCTTTGATCAGCTACGTACAGCACTTACAAACATATGGAACAACATTCCACAGCTTCCCATACAAAGACTTGTGCGAAGCATGCGGCACAGGTGCACAGAAGTCGCCACTGCCCACGGCGGCTATACGCGGTATTAACTGTGACTTTTCATTTTAGGGCCTACAATTAAAAGATCTAATTTGAGGAAATAAGGTTCATTTTAAAAAATTGTTTTTTGTGTAATTGATTTGTAAAATGTTCAAACTTTCCGTATAGAGATATTGTTTCTGGTTAAAATCAGTCTTTCAATACAAAAAACACTAAAAAAGGGGTGTCTAGTTTTTTTTTGACGCCAAGTACATGTATATTAAAAAAAAGGATTCCTTTAGTCGTATGACTGAGTGCTCTTCCTTTAAAAGGTAGGCTACTGTGGTTTATCTCGCAAGTCGTTGCACCATTCCACTTGGGAGGCTGCAGTGCAAAAGGGCTCACGTGGCCTAGAGGTTAAGGTGTTCCGCTTTCATTCATAGGTCCCGGGTTTTAATCCGGGTAGCGACCGAAAAAAATTCTTCTCTAATATTTTCTTATTCCACATGCTTTCCTGCTCTCTAGCGGTGTTCTATCGTCTGCTTTCGTCTCCTCTTTCTGCCCCCACCCCCTCACCTCTTTTGCCCTTCCCTTTGGCTCCTGACTCTTTTTGCAGCCTTTCTACTGCTACTCCTTGGCTCTTTCTTACTGCTGTCTTTCAGCAACACCCCTGATCTTCTGATAGGAAATATCTACACCTAGCCTTCTCGGACAAGGGCGAAAAATCTCGGAGGGCCCGTGAGCAAGTTGCGTTCGTTAAAGATCCACTGATGGTCTAAAATCGATAAGAGTAGGCTTCGGCCACCACCTGGGCAAAACCTGTAAAACACTTACCCCCCCCCCAAAAAAAAAAGAAAGAAAGAAAGAAAAAAACAAAAACGAAATGAACTTTTAAAATCTGATTCTCGAAGCCAGGGGGAGGTTGTTGTGAGGATGAAGGGAAATAACCGAGGAAAAGTGTTTAAGGAAATGGTTTAGTAAGAGTTATGAAACCTGGAGAACAGTATAGGGTTAGGACGGAACACGGTGGGGAGAGGACGGAGTAGAGGACAGAGGCGAGGACATGACATAAGGACAGGCTAGGACAGGGTGAGGACAGGGTGAGGACAGGGTGAGGACAGGGTGAGGACAGGGTGAGGACTGGAGTGTGAGGAGAAGATAGGACAGTGGGGAGAGGACAGAGTAAGGAAATGAAGCG